AATATAGGAGGGGGAATTTTCGAATTTTAATTTTCGCTTTGCATAGTAGAAGCGTCGAATAATCACGGGAACCAGGATGAGAAGCAAAAGCGCCAGTAATAAGTAGCGTCCCAAAGCTTTCATTATATTTGTTGAAATTTTGTCAACTAGCCTTCACCAGTGGCAATAGAAAAGACCCGAATCCATATACCCGCTTCACCGACGACCTAAAATTTAAAGTGAAAAATGAAAGTTGGCGAAATGCCAAAGTTCTGTAAATTTTCAGCTAAGGCAGAGTTTAAACTGAGTACTATTGGAACATAATTGGATGGGGGAAATTTGGAAATTTTTACCATTGCAACGACTTTTTTCTCAAATTTTTTGTTTAAAATACTACAAATCTTTTCGTTTGTTAATCATAATAACTATCATAATCATAACTTTAGTTAATCATAATAACTGTCGTATAACTATCATAATCATAGTAACCTATAGTAACTCCACCTAAAACTACTGATCCATTAAAGCCACGAGATATGTGCCACGTATTCAAACATCCTAAAACGAAAAGCAAGGGCACATAGATGGTGTTGAATGTAAGGACCCGTCAAACTATACTATCGATAAACGAACGATTAAAGAAAATCAACAAAAACACGCACTTTTCGATGCCATCATCCAGGATGTTTTGGTCCAGTCGACGACTTCATCAATCCCGGTTTTCGCTGAAGCGGGATTCACTGGCTGAATTCGATCACACAAAAACTAAATAAGCAGATTGTGGCAACCAGGCTGACTCTGAAAGCTCAAGTGGCAAAGGCGCGACAGAATACAATACGAGATGAGAAGATAAGGGTGAGAAAAGACGTTTCGGTCCATTAGGTCACCTATGCCTTAATTCGACACCGCGACAGGACCTCACCAGTATGGTGGCCGCAATGCTTAGTGGAAAAGGAAAAGAGGAAGGCGATAGAAAAAAGCAAAAGGAACGACGGTCTGATAATTGGATTAGATGGAGTAAGAGTGGGATGAAGGAACGGAAAAGAAAGGAGAAAGAGATTTTTAAAAAAATTTGATAGAGAAGAAGCTCAGCAGAGGACCGATGCATCCAACAGACTTCCAGGAAGTTTTGCTTTAGTTGAAAAGCCTCCAAGCCCACCACTACCTTCCCAATATGTATTTAAGTTCCATATGTGGCAAAGTCAATAAATATATACTGGGATGATTGCTGCGGACCAACAATAAACACATACTGGCAAGGCTACTAAAAATTCCTAAGAATCAGAATGAAAGTAATTTTGGCTTCAAAGCATATTTCAGAATCAATTTAAGATCGAAAAAAAAAATATACGAGTTTGTGTGCAGATTTGCTGCATCAAATAAATCATACAAAAAATCGCAGTATGCAAATATTTATTGCGAAAAAAAGATATAATTGTCTTTTTAAGACATACTGACAAAAAAGTGTTATTTTTTATTCAGCTGTGGCGCAGAGATTCGAACTTTTCCAGGAATGTTTCTCGCGATTTGGTCATTACTTGCAAGCACTTTCAGCAAACTCAATTCATGAGCAGTCGCCGATTTATCACGCTGAAAATGAAAGAAAATTAAGTACACCGGTTTGGAAAGCGAAAATTTGAATATTTTTTGAAAAAACGCAAACTGAGCTGTCTTTTTATGGGTATTTGCTGTACAGAACGCTGCTACAGTGAGCAAACACGCATATTGCCGACAGATCGTCCGTGTGCGTGTGTGCGTGTGTGTGTGTGTGTTCAGAAGCGAGTGAACTTTGTCACTCACTTTCAACTCAGCGACCAGGAAAGCTGGAGAGCTGAAATTTGTGGACATATTCTCACCTCATTGTATCACCCTTCCGTTTTAAAATCTTCGCTCATGCCCAGAACTCACGTAAGGACCTAGAACTCACGTACGGAGCCACGGAAAAAATATGCAAATTTTTTTGGCGGGAAACGATTACGTAAACCTGACAAGACTGAAAACTGAAACTTTGCAAGGATATTCTCTGTGCATACACGAGCTAAAGATTTCAAATTCAGCTATCGCACAGATATTTCACTGTAGGAAGGGCCCGTCTAACTGCACCATACTAATGTCAGGTGCTACAAAATGCATGCTCAATTATGGTATTGGAATCTGGTACTGGTGAGGGTTGGGAGGAAGTACACAAATATGAAAGATGGGTAAAAGCAAAAAAAGACACAGAGCATAACTGAAAGTATGCTTGTAAAGAACAAACCTGGAACAAAGCAATAGCGCTTTTTGCAGCCTTTCCACGTTTGCCGGTTCCTGGAGTCAGCTTTACTTTATACTTGAAATTGTGCATCGTCTGATAGGGAGCCACTACAACTAGCGCGTATAAAAGCACATCTTCGTCAAATGGCCTCCATGTTAGCGAGTTCAGCATCCTGGTTTCCTCGGCATCCATCATTGCTGTATCTGCCTCTTCCAGTACATCTTCCTCATCCTCCTGAAAAAACCGGAGAATTTAACCGATAAAAGTCGAGTGGCCTCAATATCAATGGAAACAATTAAACAGCCATAAATGAATATGCTAGTGGTACCCACGGAAAAGCCGAGCACTCGCTCGGCTTCCGAGAATACAGCACCAAAGAATACAGCACCAAAGAACAGTATGAGAAAAGAAGGTAAGAGTGAGATAAGGCGTTTCGGTCCATTAAGTCATATACGCCTTAACTCAAAAAAGCAACAAAACCTCGCTAGTATGATGACCGCAGTGCTTTACGAGAAAGGAAACAAAAGCAGACGATAGGAAGAAACAGAAGGGGAAACGATATGATTGTGGGATTAGAAGGAGTGAGAGTGGGGTGAAGAAAGGAAGGAAAAGGAAAGAGGAAAGCCTGCTTGCGTTCATCTTTAGGAGGAAGTTAGTACATATTAGCTTCAAAATGGCAATTTTCGCAGGCATAAATAACCTGGTTCTGAGACGACGAAAAATCCTCTTCTTTTCTTATACGCATAGAACCTCTCCAAAAAAAAAAAGGATAAAGGAAGGGAAGGTCAGTGAAAGTTTAAAATCCATTAAAAAATTCCAAAATTATTACTTCTTTTACAGCAGAAGACGACCCAGGTTTTCTTCCCACTGGCGCTCTTTGAGAATCTCCACCCACAGAAGTACCAGAACCAATATCAGGCAAACGTTCGGGTTTACTTCCTTTGATATTCATTTCTGTTTTGCTTGAAG